AATAAAATTTAAAAAAGAGGGAGAGATCTATAATTTATCTGGCTTGCCACAAGTCAGCACTCTGCCACCAACTCCCCCCATCTCATTTCTGTGCATTTGCAGTTTCCTCCTTCCCTCTCTGGAGCGCAGGGGGCCCATCTTCAGGGGGTGGCGGGTTCCTCATTTGGGGGGTCAAGGTGGTGCTGGAAGGGGGGTCGGCGCTGGACTTTTGGCTCGGGTGCAGGAATGCCTTCACGTTTACAAACAAACCGGCTCTTTCGCTCGCCCTGTTTGCCTTTGTGGCTTTCGTTTTTTTTTTTCTTTTTTTTCTTTTTCAAGGCCTGTACGGGCAAACACACAGCAGGAAACACTGACTTGTTGATCGCCTTCACAGACCCGCTCATAAACCCTGCGAGGATGAATGCGGGGGCCTGTGTGTGTTTGTGTGTTTCAAAACAGCCTTGTACAGTTTTTTAATAAAGCAGAAGGGTGTCGTGGAAGTAAACAACCAAATAATTATTAACCGTTGAGTCATGACATCGAGGCACGTCCTTAAAGTCGAATCTCACCGTAAATAAGAAATTACTCTGATTGTGCTGCGGAGTTTGTCTGTTCCTGTTTATGGATGTTGCTTGGAAACAACACTAAATCACATTGTTCAACATGTGGCATCTCTCTCGCTCCCTCTCACTAATTCCTCGCTTGCTCGCTCGCCCTCGCTCCGTTTGTAAACAGCGAACGGGGATGCATGGCCTCATTGTTTTGCATCATTATTACTGACAGGCCATAATGACTTGAATGATGGGAAAGCCTCATACAAAATTAACCCGGCCCTGTGTGTTTACGCTGCCTAAATCATGTTGCTCATTGGCTTGGAAGAGAGGCAGAAAGGAGGGGGAAAAGAGGGCCTCACATCCTGACATCTGCAGAGCACCTGTCCTGAGCTGTGCATGCTAGCTGCACCAGAGCACTTTTAAACAGCTATCTTCCCTCATTTTGCTCTGCGGCCTTGAAAAACACCATGACCGTCATGTGCTTAAACAATCAACAACTTCTGCTGTTTTCTTCCTGTTTCCACTACGTCTTTGTATTGTATCTGTGACTGCTGATGTCCCGCTTTCTCCTCATTTGTATCTCAGTGTCGTCCTTTGAAAATGTCTTCATTTATTACGCTCCATGTGACTTTTCCTCTCCAGTACTTTCTGGGTGTTAATGATATAACTGTAATGACTAAGACTCATCGAGTAATCCTTATGTGTTTATTATGGTTTATTTAATAGGAGTGATGCAAATTACATGTTCCCCTTTTTGGGAAAAAGCTGACTGCCCAAAGGAGATCTTACGATGTTTGATTTTTAACATTACCACGTATTTTTCCCCCCCAATGTTGACTCTTATTTACATGACAAATTTGCATAAAATTTCCAGAGCTAAGTTTTGCAAATTTTGTAAAAAGATCAAAACATGCCATCTCCTTAGTTTTTTATCCATCATTCCTAAGGCTTGGCAGTCAGATCACCACACGTATTTAAAACTGCGATGCTCTGATCGGTCTATGGAGCCATTTCAGCTTCTTCTCTCTGTACTACAATGTTTTTTTAATGTAAAAAACACATAAAGACTGTCATGTCCATGTTTAAAGTGAGCTTATTTTGATTTAAAAAAGAAAAAAAAACATACCCTAGTCAGATATGTTGTTCATCTCTCAGTTGCTTTATTGGGTGTCTTTGTTGGATTATACATTACTGTATCATCAGCATAAAGCTGACAACCAGCCCACACATGCAGACAGCTTCCACATTTAGATGTGCTTTATAAATAAACTTGGATTGAATTGGACTGGATAGATTATTAATTAAAAGTCTAAAAATTCAGTGGGCCCAATGTTGAGCCTTGGCGAACGCCTAAATTATTTTGTCTGGGTGCAGACTTTGTCATGTTGATATTCACACGGCTTCACCTATGCTCATGTTGAGATGTAAAACAATAGTACGGCTATAATACTAGTGCTGATCCAACATACCATCCACTAACCAAATCATATAACTAGTGATGGGCACGGCAGTTCTTTCAGATGTACTGAATCACTAAAATCACTTCACTAAAAAGATTCGTTCAAAAGATTCATTCACCAAATCACAGAATCATTTAGCGGGAGAAGCCTGCAACTCTGACCTCCTGATTCGTTCACCAAATGATTCAGGCGTCGGTGCATGTGGTCCCTCATTCGCCGGCTGCTGGCCTGGCAATGCTGTTTCTCACTTCAGCTAACTGAACTGAGAAATAAACGAATCACTCGAGGAAGTGATTCGGTTCAGTGCGTTCACTTAAAAGATTCAATTATTTTGAACAAATCGTTTGTGAACAACACAACACTACATATAACTTACCGAAGACATGTCAAAGATCCCTCAGGTTGGTACGATTCACTACAGAACAGATTTTTTTATCGATTTGAAGCAGAAACTCACAGTTATGGTCATTTTAGAGGCTTTTCATTCATTGTTTTAACATTAAATAAATAAAATACCCTGATCAATCCCAGTATATGCCCAGTTTATCATATAGACACAACCTGTTTAAAAATGTGACGTAGTCTCAGTCCGATCGGATCATCAGTTTTCATTTTCAGATGCCCACAGAGGAAATTCAGACGTTCATGGCCATATTAGGACAGGCAGAAACATAATTACAACCACATAGGCACATTTTTTTTAAATATAGTTTGGGTTTTTATGTTGTGGGTTATTATAAAAAGACAGAGCAGGATGTAGGATATCTGTAAACTGTTCTACAGCTCACTGTAGCCTACATGTGAATATTCAGCATTAACTCGCGTGTCACGCAAAGCGGTGCACAGTGCAGCTGCAGAGAGAGGGACAGTGTCCAGCGCTCCTTCGGTCCACTGAACAATTTCACAGCACCCACATTGCTCTACATGCATGCTCACACTGTTCAATATTCCACAGCCCTGCTGAGTCACATGACTGCCTGTCCCACTAACCTCCCACCAGACGTTATCAGTGGTTATACAGGCCAATAGTTTCCTGAGAGCAGAGAGTTGTGTAAGCTGGCCGGGCTCAGAACAAAGCTGTGCTTCTCGAGAGGGAGGAGGGTGGCACTGCTGGGAAAGGTGCCTGGCCTTCATCAGCCAGCGCCACCGAATTCGGAAGTGAGTCACTCCTCTGCTGTGTGCAGAATCCCTCCCAAAGGTCACCCTCACTGGCTGCAGCATGTCTCCATGTCAGCCGTTGCATAATGCCAGCCGTGGCCTACAGTAGGAAAACAGTCTGCAGGAGGAGGGCTGGATTTATCCTTTAGACAGAAGATCAGAAATGTTGGTTAAACAGAGACAAAGAGCAGCTCAAAACACTAAGAGAGAGATAAAACACGAAGGAGAAGACCGGATGGAGGGATTTCTTCCTATGATGTGATGTTACTAAAACAGGAACAGTTTGAGAGGTGATAAAAGAGAAGAAAAAACATTAAAAGCTTTTCAATCTACGCAAAATATCAAGTCCAGGAAGTTAAATAAACGGACCTTCAAAGTTTGAGTGCTGTGTTAGTTTTTGAGGTTGAGTTTTGTTCCAACAACATGTGGTTTTTGTGGCTTCATGGGACATGTAATGGACTTTTTCTATCACATTTTCTCTTTGGAAAAGTCGATAAAAGTTTATGTTTATTGCGACTCTGTCAGCCCCTTCCAGCCTTTTTACTTTTCATGTAAAAACCTTCAAAATCTTCTGCAGCACCTATTTAGATTATACTCTAAAAACACCTCAAATTTCAATCATTACAAGTCACACTGAAGTATAAACCCATTTCCTCTCCAGAATGAGATCGATTGTAGGACTTAATTGTATTTTTTAATCATAATCCTTTACATGAAAATGAACTTTTGCACTGCTCTGATCAGGTCTGCCGGGATTTAAGGAGTTTAAATCAGATCCTTATCTTGCAAAAGCTTAATTGCAGTTGCATCAGTTGTCCTCTGATCACTCTCTGCAGCATAATGAAGAGAGACGCCAGCTTAAAAACACTACTTTGCATTTTTGTCACTTCAGTCTAGTCCGGCTAGAATAAAGCACACATGAACGGTGTGTTTTGTGCTTATCTATCACGTTTTATCTGCTGGATTGGATGTTCATGAGACGAAGGCCTTCCTGGAAAATAAAGATTGTTTTCCTTTAACTCGTCTACAGTCAGCAGTGTGTCCCTCTGAGTGTGCTCACAGGATTCAGTGGTTGGTAGGAGCTGGATGAGTCGTCTTCCTGACAGCTGAATATCTGTGTCTGTTTCCTGTCCCAGATAACAGCAGTATGCAGAGAGGCTGCCCTCCTGGCCCTCCAAGAGGACATCAAAGCTCAGCACGTCCAGGCCAGACACTTTGAAAGTGCCCTGAACGCTGTGAAGCCCCGGATCCCTGACTCTCTCATCCAGTCGTATATCAGCTATCAGCAGCAGCACAGCGGCCTGTGTTTCTTCTGAGCACACCACTGAGGACGAAGTCAAAACCAAGAGACTGTTTATACCCCAACATGTTAGCTTTTTTAAAGGACAATGATCTGTTGAGTAAGAGGAAAACAGTCATGAGGCTGATTTAGATACTGGAATAAAAACTTGTGTTTCCCTAAATCTGTTTGTTTTTGCATCAACTCTGTGAACCAAACAGTGTAAGTGCTTTAAGATGCTTTTATCATATAGAAAGATAATGTATTAAAATGCAGGGGCATGTTTACCATTATGCTGCATCACCCCAGGACGCAATATTTTATTTTGTAAGATGGTTGGGGAAAGTCCCGCCTCCTTCGCCTCTGATTGGCTAGAAAAGCTGGAAATGTCTTTACACGCTCAAGCCGACCGCAGGCTGTCGGCTCTGTACATCAAACAGAACATTACAGAACATTATCGCAATTCTGAATCTCCTAACCCTAACCCGACAGATGATGACGTTTCACAGCCATAAGCAATAACCAATCGGAGCCCAGCACTTCTAGCCAATCAGAGGCGAAGGAGGTGGGACCTTCCCCTTCCATCCGATGAAAAAAAATCGCCCCTAGGACACCAGTTCATGGACGTTTTAAAGTCAATTGTCGTCTCTTTCTTGTCTCATTCAGTTCTGGGCTCCTGAAGGCTCATTTATGCTAAATGTTACATACGGATCTGAATACGAACTGAGCTTTTTGTCCGTACTTTGTGTTCTTTTCGTCTGTATTTCTGCAGGTATCCTTTAAGTTTACAGATACGGGCCAGACGGAGCAGTACCACATAAAAACCATGGGGGCAGTGTTGCTGCTGTCACTACCTGATACGCACCTCTACAGGGAAACGATGAAGACAATGGCGGGGTTCTCTCATCCGCAGGGTGTTTAGTAGCCTGAGTGACCACCGCCTCCTCCAACGCTGCCTCTGTTTCTGTCTCTTATGCAGAATATACATCATCACTCGCTCCTCCACAGTCGCCATGTTTCTTTTTGTTTGTTGTTGTCAGAAACTTTTGACTCCGTCCTGCCCCCTGGTGGATGCAATGGTTAACATCCATGCCAACGTAAAGGGCGCACAGAAGTATGCGAGCAGTGACGGAACCATCGTTTGAAACGGACGCGTACATTTTCATACGTATGGCGAGCAGAAATGAGCCTTTAGTCATAATTTTTGTGTCATGATGCACCAAGATGTTGGTACTGCAGGCTGGAAAGTTTAGTCCCCGGACTCTTCTACTGCAGAGCCGTGTTCAAATAATGCAGACGTAATAAAGTTTGGTATCTTATTCCTGAATTATAAAAGATGTCCTCTAAAAAAAAGGGACGGTCAGGATGGCAGCATGTTGCTCGAACATCTGTTTATATAGATCAGCATCTATGATTCTTTAAAGGGAGCCACACTCCAGGCTCTTATTCCTCCCAACACCACCACAGATGCCGACTTTCAAACTGTGCACCTCCTGATCCCTCTCCTCTTGAATTGTGACGGCTGCAGCGTCCACGATTTCCAAAAAGAACATCAAATACTGACTTGCCAGACGTCTTGATGGATTTTAATTTCACTTCAGTGCATCCTAAGAGGACATTTCTAGATCATGTTTTTATCATCAGTTTTATTTTTATGGGAGGGCTAATGCAGAGATTTCCACTGCAGAGGTGTCTTTATTTAATACATTGCTGCCACAGGGCACTAAAGTCAGTTTTGGTTTTATACATGGTCCCTTTAAAACAGCCATTTCTCCAGATTCTGAGGCTCTTTTAATAATAATATGTACTTTAGATGACAGAGTGATGAGTCTCTTCTCCCTTTTTCTCAATTTCCCTGATTAAAAAATGTTTTCCTGGTATTGTTATCAATTTTTGATTCTCCCTTTCCCAACTTTTCAGACTTCCATGAGCGTTTTTAGTCTCAGCTTTCACACATCTTTGCATTGTTTTCACTTAGTTGATTGCAATCCATTAAATGCTGCTTTTTGTTTTCTTTTTGAGATTTTATGCACTCTCAATAACTTAACCCCTGACTGTCGTGAATACAGAATAAGCTTGAGGTCCACGTTAGACTGTTACAGATGTCATGGTGCATTAACGTTTTGATAACAGTGGAGAGCATGATCCTCCTACTCGGAATATTACATAATGTTTCTCTGAACTGGCATCTATGGAGGAAGATAGTGGCGTTCGACTTTCATCTGGACCCCCTTTCAGGAGCCCCCCTGACGGTTCCAGAACCTCTTCTCTGAGGGGAACTTTTGCTCCACATGCACGTGGAGAGAAAAAAACACAGTCCCGGCTGCAGGATCCATCACATGCATCCATGGAAAATCAGCTAATTGCTGTAATCGTGAGATTTCCGTCCGCACTTCCGACCACTAAGAGCCGGGATCCAGGCGGCCATCTGTCGGTCTACCAGGATTTGCTTTATCACCGAGGAGCAGAATTTGAACATGCAGCCCGCAGAGAAAAAACGGTGAGTCTTTTTTCCTCCAAACACTCGCTTTAACAGTCCGTTAACTCTAATAGGGGCTTTTCCCCTGTTCTTTTTGAGGCATTTGCTGACCCGAAATGGCTCTGGAGGTCATTCAGCTATTGATTTTTCCATTTGAATAGGATAAATTGACTTTGTATTGAACTTCCTTTTCTCATGGATCCGGATGTAGCGCATCCGCGACACCAATCAAACCAGACAGTCAGGAACAGAGACGAGGGGGGAGGAGGGGGTGTGGGAGCGAGGGGGGAGTCTTTCCCCTGGCTGCAGGGCTGCTTTTTTCTTAAGGTGGTATGAAACCCCAACCGCCACTTCCCCCCCCCCCCATGCGCAAAAAACCGGAGCCGTGAAAGTTTTGAAATGATGGGAAAATGTCCAGATCAGGGAGCAGAGCGGGCTGCTCACTCATACACAGGCGTTTGATTTCCTCTGATGAGTCTGATGACTGTGTGAGTGTGCGTAATGGGAACATTCCTGAGAGCAGAGGAGACATCCTGTTGATGTTTCCTCGCTGAGTTGTCTTGTGCAGACAGTGGTTTCCAAACTGTGGCTCCAGCACAAAGGGGGGTCTTTTTTAACAGACCCAAAGTTCACTTCAGTCAACTTTTAAAACTCTTACATGAAGTCTGTGCCAGCTTTGAAAGAAGAAAAACCTCATGAAACATTGGAGTAGATTTTATCTCCATTATAATCCCGGATTAAATTAACCTGAATTTTTGTTCATTCCCAAACCTTCACACTTACATTCAGATGTCAAAAAATGTTTCTCTACATAAAGTAACTTATCATCTCGGTTTCTGAATTCATTGTGATGAAGCAAAATGCACTCAAACCTGAAAAATGATCTGTTTTTAACCCGCAGTGATTTATATTTTATATCAGTAAAGCTCAAAAGTACCGAGAGTGTTCCTTTAAAGCTGTGAAAGCAAAGTTCAAAGTGGCGATAGAAGTATGAAAAATCACTTTTTCTGGACTGCATCTAATTTTGTTGCGCCAAAAATGACAAATCAGCAAGAATATAAATAAACGGCCCGTTTATTACATCACCATTAGTCACATTCACCTTATTCACATCATTATTCATAACCCACAAGAACGGAAACGACGACTTTTTTCTTCCCTAAGCCCCCTCGTCAACCAACGCGGAATAAAACCCTCCGTTCCACCTTAACTAGTGCACACATCTCTATCGCCCGGCCTTCCACATCTGCCCAATGAATCAGGAGCGGATGCGATGTATCCTTTTTCAGTGGAGTGAATGGCCAATGGGAGTTGGCTTGTCGAGCAAACACTGAGCCCTGCGTTCCCATTCATTCAGTGCTGAACAGGCCCGCAGAGCTGGAGAGAGCGCACGGCTGTCTGCGACCACACGACGCTTTTTCTTCTTCCCCTCTACGGCGAGCGCAGATTCTCCCGAAGCAACGCAGCAACAGCCTGAACTCAACACCCTGCAGATACACGAAGAGGAGACCGTCTTGGATTTATGCTAACTCGTGTTTGAGACATTTTTTTACGCTATTTTCTACTCGCCAACAATTCCTGCGGGACTTCTATAACTGGGTTGTCTCGCAGGAAGATCGGCCTCCCCGAGTGCTCAGCAGCTCTCCCTCCTCCATCAGAGCTCCACCGTGGATTTACTTTGTTTTGATTCTGGACAAATGCATGCGTAAAGCGCGCTCAACTTCCAGAAAACTTACCAAGAAAAGGGAATAACGCAAAGGGATACACTCTCACTTGGATTAAAAGGCAGTAAATGTTATGCATTAGAGCCGAAAGCCTGCGTTTGGACATTGCCCCTTCCTTTTGGATGGAGTCTTGGTAGGCTACTTGGTTGATGGATTCGACGTTATGGATGGTTGCATATAGGTATGTACTTGCCTAACATATCTGCGCTACTTTTACGCGTATTTTTGTGGTGTTTAGCGGTGCACGTAGCAGCCAAATACGCACAGCAGCAGCGATTATACGTTTCGCCACTTCAGTGCATACATCCAAAGAGTGTACGTTGAGTTTCTAAATGTTTTTGGCACGGGGAAATAAAAAAAAAAACACCCGCAGCGGGTGAAACTCATCGCGATTAGTGGATGAAGTTGATGGATCTCCATGCCTGCTGTGTCCTTCCGTGGCTCTGCTGTAACAAACACCCTTCCCCCCACGGCGGTTGTTTTCATTCATAAGTTTTACCCCGTCTATTCGGATGCGTCCTCTTGTGTCTATTGATCTCCCGATCTGTGTGTTTTATAGGGTCCCGCTTTTCTTACTGCGCAGGATGTCGTCTCCTTTGAACGCGATCGGAGCAGATAATCCTATTTATAGTGCGCCCTTTGACGCCTGGACATAAAAAAATAAGATTTAGTTTATTAGTGAAGCTCAAAAGAGGAAAAAACCGAGTATTCTCTCGGGTTTTGGAGCACTCTTCCTCCTTGTTGATGGTTTTTACGGGGCTGTAATCTCTCTGTTTCTGCAATCTCTCCAGGTTTTGGCCTCGTGCAGAAGTGCGTTGCCTAATAACATCCACGAAGGCTTCAACTTATATTCCTGATGTTGTTTATGGCACATCAGACCGAATTACGCGCTTCCAATCAACTTCAAAAAATCGCGTTTGGCTGTTTTGTGCGGTGAAGTTTTCTGTCTGAGAACATTAAAGCTCTCGCTTCGTCTTTATTCACATCAAAAGTCTGTATTTTGTCGGAACTTGGTCTGACCTTTAGTTCTTTTTCCCTTCTCCTACTTTTGTCCCCATTTCCCTGAATCCTTTTCGGTGTAGTAATAGAATACTAAGTGAGGCAGCTCATTTAGTTCCCTTGGATCGCGTCCTCATTTCGTCGCCGCGGTGCATTTAAATGTTAACTAGTCATACAAATGTAAATGAGGAGGGGAAGTATTTGTAGGCCCTACTGAAGTTTAAATGTGTGCGTATTGGGGAGGAAGGCGCACCAAGTCTTGTTAATAGTCAACTTTTCCCGAAGGATTGACTGAAGGGAATCAAAAGTGACATATTGTCATGTTGACAGTCTGAAAACAGAGTCAGGTTGATTTAAAATACACATGTTTATTATTTAATTTGATGACAGTTAATCATATTTTGGAACTCGCTGTTTTTGCTGCTGCAGAATTCGTTAAATTGGATCATTTCTAGTTTATTAGTTTCACTTGGTTTTTGAGGTAAAGTGTCTCTGAATGTTGTTTCTCATCCTCTATCAGGACACAGTGTTATTGTCAGTTATGTTGTGTTTTGGATGTCTCTGATCATGTCCCCTCCTTCCCCGCTTCTTCCTTTGTCTCTCCCCGGCCTCCCTCCACCCTCAGGCAGGTTTTCCGATGCATGCCAAGTCCACGGTGAATGTCGGAAGTGGTGATCCCCCCAGATGGAGCTCCAAAGTCAACATGGCCCCGGCGGTTCATTAGTGGTGATCCAGCAGCCTTCCCTGGAGAGCCGGCAGAGGTCGGATTACGAGCGGGAGCTCCAGCATGCCGCCATTCTCTCCCTGGACCAAATCAAGGCCATCCGCTCCAACAACGAGTACACTGAGGGGCCCTCAGTGGTACGGAGGCCCCCTGCGCCCCGCATGGCCCCAAGGCCCCAGGACAAGCAGGAGAGGACTCACGAGGTCATCCTCGTCAATGTGAACAATAATTATGAGCACCGGCCGTCAGGGCACCACCATCACGTCGGGGGCGGTGTGGTGGTAGTGGCTGGAGGACAGCAGTATGGAGGGTCCCGGGCTCCGGGGCTCAGCCGCTCCACTAGCACAGGAAGTGCCGCCAGCTCAGGGAGCAACAGCAGCGCCTCCTCTGAGCAGGGACTCTTGGCACGCTCACCCCCCACCAGGCCCGGCATAAGCTTACAGCACCACCACAGAGCGGAGCGGCCTGTTCGGACTCAGCCCAAGCCCAAGGCCCTCTCTCAGCCCCAGCAGGGACCTCACTTCCACCAGCCTCCACTAGAGGCTCCACTCAAGCCGCAGGGCAAAGGGAAATCAGACTTTTCTGGCTCTGGCACTGGGGTGGTGGCTGCTGCCGGGCACCAGTTCATCTGTGAGCGCTGTGGGAAGTGCAAGTGTAGTGACTGCACGGCTCCGCGGAGCCTGCCTTCATGTCTGGCGTGTAACGGCCAGTGCCTGTGCTCTGCTGAGAGCGCGCTGGAGCACGGCACCTGCATGTGCCTGGTTAAGGGCATCTTCTACCACTGCTCCAATGACGATGAGGGGGACTCTTGTGCTGACCACCCCTGCTCGCTGTCACGCTCCCACTGCTGCTCCCGCTTTCTGTGCATGGGATTAATGTCGGTACTCTTCCCCTGTCTGCTATGCTACCCACCTGTTAAGGGCTGTCTGAAGGCATGCCAGGGCTGCTACGACCGGGTTAACAGGCCCGGCTGTCGCTGCAAGAACTCCAACACTGTGTATTGCAAACTGGAGAGCTGGGCCCCACAGAGCCAGGAGAAACCCTCCTGATCGTGAGGCCCCGAGCGTGATTGTGATTGTGTGTGCGCGGGAGACACTAGATGTGGATCTTATGATGACAATGATAATGATAGTCACAAATTAATGTTTATCAAACATTCTAAGCACCTCCCACCCGCCTCCCTCTCCTTGCTGCAGAACCCTAAGGAGCTAAAAGGAGTAACGAAAACCACTCGATTATTTTTATTTTTATTTCTCTGGATCAGGACCATGTTTTTACAGACCAGTGTTTGCCTTAACTGTTTCTGTGTCAGTCCTCAGCTCCTCATTAACACTATTTTTTTTTATATATATGAAAGTTTTTCTTCCGTTTTAGGTAGGCGGCTCCATCCAGGTCCTTGCGCCTGGTGGAGCTGCCTCTCACCAAATCTGTGAAGGACGATCTACTTATAGGGCAATTATGTAGCTGTTACCTGGTATTCATAGCACGCAGGTATGTTTGAATTTATCGGTTGCTGCCACACTAAAACGGTGGTTCCTCTGCTCATGTTGCATTAACGAAAGCACATGCATCTCATAGTATTTTTTCTCCACATGGACGTTTCTCTCTCTCTCTCTCTCTCTCTCTCTCTCTCTCTCTCTCTCTCTCTCTCTCTCTCTCTCTCTCTCTCTCTCTCTCTCTCTCTCTCTCTCTCTCTCTCTCTCTCTCTCTCTCTCTCTCTCTCTCTCTCTCTCTCTCTCTCTCTCTCTCTCTCTCTCTCTCTCTTCCCACCCGTCTGAACTCTTCATTCACACTCTGTGGCATTCTCCCATTTTTATTTTTGTTTGTTTTTCTTTATTTTCGTTGTAAATTCAAAAATCCATAAGAGGAATTCTGGCTATTTTTTAAAAGAAAAATGTCTGTTAAAACATTTTTTTGTTGTAAAAAATATTTATTATGTGAAGCTCTATTATTTTATGATATTTATTGCAAGAGACAGTCTTAAATTTACTCATGTCTGAATATAACAAAATATCAAATACTTACTGAAAAATTAAAGGGTGGCACAAAAGAAAACTATGTTAACTTTAATGCAGAAAATATATTAATTAATGAAAAACGGTGCTGTCTGGTGTCTTGATTGAAACAGTTACGGGTGCAGGGGTGAAGTATCTGCCTGGTGGAGGGTTTTAAGGCTGTTTTCACGACTTTCAGCTCATTTAGCGAACAGAAAATCACTGTTTCCTGGGTGTGTATGTGTGTGAGCGTTCACGCTGGGTGTGGAATTCCTGGTTTAGAAAAAAATCCACCATGAGTAGAAACAGCTTGTAGCTGAAAATGCGTCTGTTTACATTCTTGGAGGGCTTCTTTGCTGCGATTCTCCTCGCTAACCTTGAAAGCTAAACAATGCAGGTCATTGCCATGATTAGCCCTGAAGCTGCTAGCATCAACACAGCCTCCCATGTTTCCATGCTCACAGGAAGTAAAAAAAAAAAGAAAAAGAAAAACAAAACACCCCACTCTACTCTGCAGCCGACAAGTCACCGCACAACTATGTGCTGTAGTTTACTCCCTGGGCTTCAGCACGGCTAGATCGGGATGTTCCCAAACTCCCAAATGGTCTCCATATTGCAGAGGCAGACAGTGTGTGCTTTGAGAGCCACCATTATGAGTAGCCGGGGCCACCTGTTCAAAGATAATAAACCGGGGCTATCAATGCTGGGCTTTTATGGCCTGGTTCCTGCACTAAAGCCAACGACAGGGGCAAATCCAGCCCCCACATACACCCTCCCCTCCCTTCCCCATTTGGCCGCCTCTTTTTGTCAGTGAATTTATCACTTGGGAAGTCCGCTGACCCCCAACCCTCAACCCCCAACCCCCCCCTTTCCACCTCCGGGCCTCCAGGGGATGAGATCATCACTTTGAAAGTTGGTTGGTCGGTACGGAAATGCCAACAGTTGGGGAAACACAAACTGGGAGCAGGAATTTCTCCGGGACAAAAGGGGAAAAAACACTCTGGCTTACGTTTGGGGAAGTGCAGAGTCTGCAAGTAAACATCACAAGAGGTGAAAAACGAGTGACATGTGACACGCTGCGTCTCCAGGCGCTTTAACGTTCCGATCCAGGGACTTGATTCTTTCTGATTTTGTGACCTGAGAAGTCTTTGTATAAACCATGAGGATGATAAAAGGTTTACTGTCCACTTCACTCTGCAGATCTAATACAAAAAACAGTCTAAACTGTGCAACAACACTGAAGTTTGCACTTTAAATGTAATAATAATAGCTATACATGATCATGATTTTGATGTATGCTCAGCAGCAAACTATCTCACCTGTCTCTGCACGCAGGTTGGTGCCACTGCATCCTAAAAATCTGCACTCTCACCTAAACTTTCTGTCGACTCGTCATTTTTCTACCATGAAATACAAATACAAGCGACACAGTCCTGGAATAACACCCAGTTTACATTCATGCTCATGGAGAAACTAATATAATCTTCATTACTCAAATCAAAACTGTCCGTATGCTGTATGTAGATCGTCTCCTCAAATCCAACTGTGCTGAAATTGTGCACAAAAAGGTTGTTAAATTCGATAAATTCATGGTAATTGACTTCTTTATGGTGTAAAACGGGGCTGCATGTGAAAAGAAGATACGTAAAGAAGTAAGAAGTCAGAAAACAAGCAGGAAAGACAAAGAAAGGAGAAAAATAATACATTTAAAATCAGAAATAAAGATGTTGTGGTTTAGATTTGCTGCTCTGGGAAGTTATTTTTTAAGAAAAGGAGCCCAAGACGCTGACATTTTTTCAATCAAACACAACTTTTAGGTTATTTGCAGTAGTAATCGCGCCCCTGATGAGGAGCTGATGCTAAAGAGACCATCTTGGTGCTTTCATCAGGTTTTCACTCAGTCAGCATTTTGCACCAAATGAACCGTCCGTCCAAATGGGCCTTCTGTACTCCATCTGCCCTTTTCCTCCCTTTTTGGTGGAATGTACCTTTTGTTGCCCTGAATAGTTAAGAGTGGATTAACGATTTGTCAATTTCCTGTTACCTTTCAGAGCTGCAACCCGAGCCCCATTTGCTCCTGGCTCCTGCATGATAGCAAACAATAGGAGGCCTTTTTTCAGGTTTCACTGCAGCTCCCCTGCACGGATGAGAAGGGGGAGGTGGAGGAGATCTAAACTGTATTCAGAAGGCCGGGAACAGGAAGACAGTGTTTACTTGATATTTTCCAGCCTAAGCCAAATAAGGAAACAGATCCTACTCCCACCATTTCCAGAACTTGGCTCAGTTTGGCCCCAAACATGTCTCTGAAATCTCTGATCTAATCAGCGGAGGTGTCTAAAATAACATTTTACTGCCTGTAGTGTAGTTTTGTTCTCTCTGCCACGTGAACTGTACTCTAACTGCGTCACACTTTACTCACCGGATTAAAAAAAAAAGGAGCGAAATCTGAGTCAGAATCAGTAATTCAATGGCATAAATGGTCACAACCTCCCCCTCCTCCTCCCTTTCCTCTTCTTTGCACTTGTTTCAGAGTAAATTTAGCCGCTCCACACGCCCACGTAATGCTATTTGGAGTTGTCAGGCTTGGCGGGTCCCTCGCTGCAGCTTTTGGGTTTTTTGGGGCCGTACAAGTGCAAACACACATGACTACCAAGTGAGTCATGGTGGAACCTCCAGCCCACACATCCTACCGGGGCAGTCCTTTTCTTAGCCATGCAGGGCAGCGCTGCCGGCCCAGCCGCGATGGAGCAGGATACTCTATAAACAGTCATCATCCACCTCCTCCGCCTCCACATTCATCAGCAAAAGGCCTGCTTCAGCTTTCCTCTGCCTCCCCCTCATCTGGTTTTCATTATTTCCCCTCATGGCATATAAATAGAAATTAGCAATCAGGGGAAATGTGGGGGTGGTGGATTTTGGCGAGGAAGACGGCTTTTTGGACCTCAGCGCGATGACCAAAGTTTATGGAAGTTATCTCCTCAGCGAGCTGGAGCGACATGTGAGAGTTGATGTGTTTAAGAGAACGGCTCCAACATCCACAATCGGCCGCGGCAGGATTAAAATGACATGAAAATATATTAGATGGCTTTGAAACAGGCGAGCGCAGGTTCTGATAAAGTCACTGGTTTATTCCAGGATGTTAAAAAGTTCTGGAAAAACACAATCTCCTGCTTGTGGCGGCTGAAAATCTTGTATAGAAAAGGCGACCCGGTGTTTACCTTCACCGCCATGTGCTGCAGAGTTTATAATAAAGGTCTTGAGATGGTTTGGTTTGGAGAATTTTCTGAACCCACAGAGGAACATGTAATCCTCCAATCCAGCTCAAAAAAAAGAGAAACTACTCAAACATGAAGATTGACTGTTTTCACCTACGAGAGATGATACTTTTAAGATCATTTTTGGCTCAACGATAAAAAAGACCAGCAGATTTTTTGGCTCCTATGGAGGTCAAAATAACCGTCAACCCAAGAGCTTAAATTTGATTGAAAGAGGGGTTCCTCTGCCAGACGAAGATCTGGTCTGTGCAGGATTTAGATGTTTTAAATCTCGAGGAAGGATGTCCTGGAAGATTTGATTATTCCTAACTAATGCAAATCAGTCAGACTGCAGCCCAGTATTTCCTGGACAGACGTTTGGAAGTTTAAGGGAAAGTCTTATTAAATACAGTCTTCACTTTTTCAGTATGGAGATACTTTTAGTTTCAGACATCCACCTCTGAGGTTTCTCCTTACACCCTTCAAATGAGTCAAGTGAAAAGACAGCACTGATACCTTTAAAACAACATGTCTTTAAAGCTCCTGTGAGGAGTTTTTGGACATTTATGAAACAGACTAAAAGAAATCTGAGAGAAGACGTACGATGAGCAGCGCCTGTTTGTGCTTTTCAACAAATCCATACGTTTGCTTTACAGAAGAAAATGACATTAGCCTCAAGCTGATGAAAAAGTAAACAACATAGAGCAAAGACAGAATAATACTGTTTTGAATTTCACTTTTTTTACTTTTTACCATTCTCCAATTCTCATCATGAAGTGCACAAACAAAAAAATCTAGTCTTGTTGTACATTAACTTAATATAGTCTAGACCCATTGCGGCTTAAAAAAGTCTCCTGTGTGAAAATACTGCTAAGACAGGTTTGTACAGGCATCATTCACACATTTGAAGTGATAAGGGAGTTATTATTTTTAATTACCTAAACTAAATTCATTGATATATAAAAGCAGTATTTAAGGTTATCTCATTTATTTATGATTTTTATTCATCATAAACTGATCAAATCCCTGACAAGAATCCTACAAATGAAACTTCAAAAACCGCTGCAGAAACATTAAAATTCAAATGACCTGATATTAAAGGTTCTTTCTGGGTGAACCAATACAAAATTTTAACTGATTTAAACAAACTTCAAAAAATAATCATCCATTTCTACCAAGTTTGTTCGGCTAAAACTAACGAATTTCACATGTTGCACCTTTAAAGAACCACCAAGGAGAAGTTCAGGTACCGTTGGTTTCAAATCCAAGATGGTTTTCCTGCTTTCAACAGTAAAACAGATGTACTTTAAGGGCCTGATCTACTAAAGGTTTGCGTGTGCAAAAACGTGTGCAAACTTGATAGCGCACGCAAACCTGATCTACTGACCGGGTGCACAGAGGATTGTGTCTTTTAAATGAGCAATGGATTTAGCGTGTTTGCCTTCATGAGTATGCAGAATATATGTAGATCATCAGAACAGATGCAAATAGAATCATTTAACACCTGCAATGGGATTTATCAAACCAGGATACCGACTGAGGTCGCTATTTTGCGTCTATATTTAGCACGTTTGAAAGGCACGTGCAAACTGGAGCAGCATTACGCACGGTCATTGTGGGGAGAAGGAGGCAGAAGTGCCAAGATACACGCCATGATCCTCGTCCAAAACCTTGTAATTTATTTTGTTTTTCTGGTAAATGACGATTTTCATAAATAATAAGGTCAAACACGAAACAGACGAAAACATGTATCTGTTTGTCTTATTGATTTTAAATCATTTTAATCCCTTTTTTGATTTCTAGTATATCTTCTTATATCTGTAAAGCACTTTGAATTGTCTTGTGTATGA